GATGAGCAAAGCAGCTGGCTGGGTTGCTTTAGATGTTATCTTTCTGGTCCTCAGCTGCCTCCTCTGTGAGATGAGAGTCTTGAGCGAGGTGACAAGGGTCCAGGGCTAAGGTTTCTGTCACAGAGGTGTAGGAAGTTAATGTAATGGGGAGCAGTGCCCTAGGCATTGTAAACTTCCCTAGGAGACAGAGCCAATCAATCCCCATTGTAGAGATGAAGTGTCTTGCCCACAGTTTCACAGCCTGTGAGTGACCAAGCCGAGGGTAGAACTGAGCCCATGCAGTCAATCAGTATGAATGAAGAGATCCAACTTGCCAAACTCTTTGCCAGGCCCCGGGGGATGTAACAGCGAATGAGACAGATAAGGCCCCACTCATCCTAGCTGTGGCAGGAGGGGAAGACAGGCAACCAAACAGCCAAGATTCAAGTGAACAAAACAGGTGTACATAGAAGTAAATGCTACGGAGGAAATACAACATGGAACCCCCATCATGATTGGGTCTTCTTCAGATGGATGACTGAGAAAGGCTCGCCGAGGAGGTGGCACTTGGCTGAGACCTGAAGGACAGGAAGAGTCAGCCTAGTTGTCCAAGGGCATAAAGAGCTCCTCGGAGGAGTTTAGATTCATGGCATGAGCTAGGCCCTCAATCTCTCCTTTGGGGAAGGAGTTGCTTTTTATTTTTCAAAGATCACGGAAGACAGGGAGAAATAGGAAGGTGGAGATTATAGACTCCAAATGTGGACGTAGGGCTGCCAGTGTATCATGGGAAGTCCATGAGCAAAGCGGGGAGAGGACGTTTCCATGAGCTTTCCTCCTTTCCATTAGGAGAACCAGAGAACATGGGAGGATGATGATGGCGGCCATCTTGGGGAGCTGAATAAGGGTTGGTGGTAATAAAAATAAGAATAAAAAAATAAAAATATTAACAGCACTGTTAGATAACATTTATAAAACTTTTAAAAATGTATTAAGAATATTATTATACTTAAAATCCTTTTATTCTTGAAATATTAATTCTTATTGCATGTAATATTATTATATGTAAGATCATTTTTCTTAAGTAATTGGTGTTATTGCATGTAACATCATATTTAAAATCTTTTTCTTGAAATTAAAAAAAAAAAACACCCTGAAAAAAAAATGTATGAAGCACTTCTGCCCTACCCAGTTTGTCTTAGTGGGTAGAGTGTTGGCCTGTGGACTGAAGGGTCCCGGTTCTGATCAAAGGGCAGGTACCTCGGTTGCAGGCCCAGTCAATGTGTCTCTTTCACACTGATGTTTCTCTCTCTCTCTTTCTATCACTCTTTCTCTCACCCTTCTTTCCACTTTCTCTAAAAATCAATGGAAAGATATTTTTGGGTGAGGATTAACAACAACAAAATATATTAAGTACTTCTGAGCACTGCTTAAGTATTAACTTATTTAGTGCTCATCATAACTACAGAGATGAGTAGTATGATTATCCTCACTTGAATCATGAAGAAGCTGAGGCTTTGGGGAGCGGAGTAACTTATCCATAATTGCACAACTGAAACCGGTGGAGCCAGGACGCATATCAGGGTCCTCCAAGCCCGGGCTCCTCATCATATGCCACATTGCCTTCCGCAGCCTCCACCTGTCACGTAACGTTGATCTGGAAGTGAGCTTCGATTTTGCGTAGACCAGAGTTCTAATGCAGTCTCGTGACTGACAACCTTTGACCTCGGATGATCCCTCTTCTTTTGGACAGGTGGGAAAATCAAGCCAGAGAGGCAGATCAGGGATGCAAATGGAATACTGATGCTGAGTGCCAACCTCTCTTTCTAGTGCTCTACATTCTCTACTTCAACAGATATCTAGAATCTCCTTCCTGGTTAGGAAGCCATGGCAAAGCGATTGGATAGAAGTGCAGCTTCTATCAGAAGAGGGGAGAGACAAATGTTAAATAAAAGAACGTGTATAGAACTTTTAAAAAAATATATATTTTATTGATATTTTTACAGAGAGGAAGGGAGAGGGATAGAAAGCTAGGAACGTCGATGAGAAACATCGATCAGCTGCCTCTTGCACACCCCCTACTGGGGATGTGCCCGCAACTAAGGTACATGCCCTTGACTGGAATTGAACCCGGGATCTTTCAGTCAGCAGCTATCCACTGAGCCAAACTGGTTTTGGCTGTATAAAACTCTTGGTGCAGGGCTGAGCACAGAGCAAGTGCCTTTGAGAAAGTCCACACACGGGGTTTCTGTGCTCTGGGTTGAGACAGTCGGCTGTGATTCGGGAAGAGGAAACTTGATTGACATGCAGGGGCCTTCGCCAAACCCCACTGATCACAGTGAAAGTCAAAATGTCTTTGGAAACCTTGTAACCCGCCATTATGACGGCTGGGTTAAGGGACACAATTGCTGGCCCTGTACAAGTGGCTTATGATTGCCCTGGGTTGTCTGAGTTTCTCTTTAATTATAGTCCCTCTTGAAACACCCAAACACACAAGGCCTTTGTTGACTTGAACTCCCTCTCTCTCACACACACAATCCTCCCCTAGGCACACTCTCCCTTTCATTTAAGGAGCATAAACACCGCATCCTACTCATTCACGTAATGAATCTCAGCCCCGTGAATCTCAATGGGAGAGGGGCCCCTGGGGACCGATGGGCGTCTGGCAGCTTCCTGTTCCAAGGCCCCAGGGAAATCTGAGAAGAGTGGATCCTTTTACCGAGAGAAGATAACGGGTAAAAAGTGCTCTTCCCTGAGGGACCAGTCGAAGCATCCTCTTCTTCTCAGCAGTGGGATTGTTTGCACGAGTAGCCACTTCCCAAAGAAAATTTCAAAATTCTTCCACACACCTCTTTGTAATACTTCATTATCCTGTCTTTTCCTCTTCTTTTTCTTTTAAAAAAGAATATTTTATTGATTTTTCACAGAGGGAAGGGAGAGGGATAGAAAGCTAGAAATATTGATGAGAGAGAAACATCGACCAGTTGCCTCCTGCACCTCCCTCCCCCCTCTGAGGATGTGCCCATGACTAAGGTACATGCCCTTGACCGGAATTGAACCTGGGAACCCTCAGTCTACAAACCGACGCTCTATCCACTGAGCCAAACCAATTTCGGCCTGTCTTCTCTTCTAAACTCAATTCAGAGCCTTTTGGTTCTGTGATGATGTAGGTAGCAAGAGAGATAGATACCCAGAAGAAAGAAGTTGCCAGAAGAAAGAAGTTGATGTTCCTGAGAGACACAGAGGACCTCAAGGACCAGGGCTTGACATAGGGCTCCTAGGAAACCCCTCCAAACTAGTCGGGAGCTCATGGCTTGATGGTCTGTCGCCATGGCATGCACTCCGTCTGTCACACCAGTGCCCTGCACGGTACTTAGTCAAGGATCAAATGAAATAATCTCCTGGGAGACGTACCCTCTGCCTTTTCTTTTTTCTTTTCCTTTTTCTTTTAAAATACATTTTATTGATTTTTTACAGAGAGGAAGAGAGAGGGATAAAGAGTTAGAAACATCAATGAGAGAGAAACATTGACCAGCTGCCTCTTGCACACCTCCTACTGGGGATGTGCCCGCAACCAAGGTACATGCCCTTGACTGGAATCCAACCTGGGACCTTTCAGTCTGCAGGCCACGCTCTATCCACTGAGCCAAACAGATTTCGGCCCCTCTGGCTTTTCTATCTGGAAGACCATCTTTCTGCACATCCTCACCAGGCCCTGGTGAGCTGGCCATTGCTGAACACAGACTTCCTTCTCTTCCCCAAGCCCTGAGGCACAGCATTCGCCTATTTCCGTGGTGTAAACACTCCCACCAGGATCCCTTCGGAGAGCAGTAAGCCCGTTCAGCATTTCCACCCTCTTCCCTCCTCCTCCTCTTGCTCTCTCTTGGAAGCTGTGTCCTGGAGGGTTGGTGGTTCAGAGCCCGATAGTCGATTAGGGGGTGACGAGGTTTGTTTTTAAACATAATTTATAATTGTAAGTTTGTAGAATTGAACTTTTTAATAACGCCTGTGTTTAACAGCTGACTGGCAGAATGCTCGAACATTGAACGAGTCTGCGCCAACATGGCCCCCTGGGCAGCCTGTGGGCACAGGTGGCCCTGGGTTTCTGAAGGGGTTTCTGAAGCTGCCCTCCTGGCATTAGGACCTCCACAGGGATCATTCTTGGTTCTGGTTCTTTCAGGGGACAGAGTCCTGAAGAACCACAGGGATGTTGCAACAGGGAGGGGGCTGGGGGCGGGAGGGCAGTGGTGGGTCTTCATTCCCAACTCTGTCAACCCAACTTAACTGCCTTGAGCGTGGTGGTGGGCAGACAGATGTGAGCGATGGGTCGGGCGTGTCGGGCACCAAGGCATAACTTGAGGGCAAACACACACACACACACACACACACACACACACACACACACACACACAAAACCACCACAAAACACACACAAAAAAACGCGAACTGAGATTCCTGTTCCCCGGCCAGCCCACGCCTCCTCCTGCCTCCGCTCAACGCCACTCCCTCCCCGCCAAGTGGCTCTCGGCTCAGGAGGCGGGACCGAGTTCTTCGATGGCCCCCGGAGGCTCCCAGCTGCAAGCTTTGGGAGGCTGGGAGGCGAGAGAGAGAGAGGGAGGGGCGCCGACTGGGCAGTCCAAGGAGAAGGGGGCCTTTAATAGGCTCGCCCAGCGCCCGGTTTGTGGCGCTGCGAGTGGCTGCAGCTGGGAGGAGAAGCGGCCCCGGCCCGGCACCTCCCTCTGGGTCTGGGCTGCAAAGCTTCGCCTTGCACTTGACAGCGGGTTGCACTGAAGTTCGTCTGCGCGCTGTGCTAGGGAGGAGGGCACAGGTAGGAGGCGCGGGCTGCAGGGCGCTCGGTCCCCGCTCCTGGCTCGCCGCTCGGGGAGCTGTGGCCCTCCCTCCGCTCTCCTTCCCGGGAGCGGTGGGCAGCCCGGAGGGTCCCGGGCTGCAACCGAGATCGCGCCGGCGGGAGGCTGCTCCGGCTGCTCCTGCTCCGAGCGCTCGGCTGTGCGCTGCCCGGCGCCATGCTTCTGCTGGGCATCGTCGCCCTGGCTCTCGTCGGGGCGCCCGCGGACGGCGGCGCGGAGCCAGAGCGGGAGGTGGTGGTGCCCATCCTCCTGGACCCGGACCTCAATGGCCGCCAGTACTACCGGCGGGGCCCCGAGGACCCCCCCGGGGCAGAGCAGGGGCTCATTTTCCAGATCACGGCGTTCCAGGAGGACTTCTACCTCCACCTGACGCCGGATGCCCAGTTCCTGGCGCCCGCCTTCGCCACGGAGCATCTGGGAGGGGTCCCGCTCCAGGGGCGCCCCGCCGCCGCCGCCCAGGACCTGCGCCGGTGCTTCTACTCCGGGGACGTGAACGCCGAGCCCGATTCGTTCGCCGCCGTGAGCCTGTGCGGGGGGCTGCGTGGAGCCTTCGGGTACCGGGGCGCGGAGTATGTCATCCGTCCGCTGCCCAACGCCAGCGCGCCCGCCGCCGGGGCGCAGCGCCACCGCAACCGGCAGGGCGCACACCTCCTCCAGCGCCGCGGCGCCCCGGGCGGGCCTCCGGGGGACCCCACCTCTCGCTGTGGGGTGGCCTCAGGCTGGAACCCCGCCATCCTGCGGGCGCTGGACCCTTACAAGCCTCGGCGGGCCGGCTTAGCGGAGGGACGCGGCGGGCGCCGGTCCGGACGCGCCAAGCGTTTCGTGTCCATCCCGCGCTACGTGGAGACCCTGGTGGTGGCGGACGAGTCCATGGTCAAGTTCCACGGTGAGGACCTGGAGCACTACCTGCTGACGCTGCTGGCCACCGCGGCGCGGCTCTACCGCCACCCCAGCATCCTCAACCCCATCAGCATCGTGGTGGTCAAGGTGCTGCTCCTCGGGGACCGCAATGCGGGGCCCAAGGTCACGGGCAACGCGGCCCTGACGCTGCGCAACTTCTGCGCCTGGCAGAAGAAGCTCAACAAAGTGAGCGACAAGCACCCCGAGTACTGGGACACCGCCATCCTATTCACCAGGCAGGTGAGTTCCGTCTGTCACCTCTCTCTGGACCCGCACAGCTTCATTCCCATCAGGTCCCTGCCTTAGCTCTCTAGATATGCTTTGTGCGCGCAATGTCTTTCCCTCCCCTCCCCTCCACCCCCCCAATTCAAATTTCATCAATCTCCTCCGATTCTCTCGTTGGATCGTCCAGGGAAAGCCCGCTCCTAGGCTCAGCGAACTCTGGCTCCAGTGGCCTGGCTGCACGTGGGCGGTCGGAAGGTGTTGGCCTGGCGCGGCCAATCAGCGCCTCCTGGATCAGGTGCCAAGGGGCCGGAGCCCAGGAAGTTGCCGCCCAGGAGCCGCAGTGTGGCTTCCAGGCAGATAGGAGGCATTGCAGAGGGCGGGTGGGGGAAAGTCTGCCCCTTTCCATGGGGGCGGCTAAGTTGCTTCAGACACCCAGGTCCCCTCCTTCTGCCGGTAGATCTGGTACCCCGATGATCCACAAGGCCCGGTTCAGCACCTAGCTACCTCTCATGGGTGACATGTTCCTTGTGTCCTCTCTGCTCTGGGCCCGGAAAACTTGGATGTGGGATAGTTTGTAGGTTACAGGGACAGGGCGGATGGAAGTACTGGGACCATTCCCTCGGTCATGGCTGCTGCCTCCTTGTGCTGGGCCCATCTGTTCGAGGGGCTTGCAGTACATTCAGAGCAAGCCATCTATGTAGGTCACTGGTTTGGTGTTTGAAGTTTCACTTGGAGCTGAGTTGAGAAGATCTTTTTCCATGTTCCCATGTCCATGTCAGTGGATGGTGACCCTTGGCCCCAGGCGAGGTTGCTCCTGACCTCAAATCACCGAACCTACTTGCGACTGCCCGGACCGCAGGGCTCTGGCTTCTGCCCCTGGCTGTGTGGCCAATGTGAGCTCAGGACAGGGCATTGGAGACCTTAGCTACAGGGTTGGAAAGAGACTGACTGCTGGGACTAGAAAGCAGATCAGAAAAGCAGCTGTGCCCTTGCTGTGGGCCTGGGAAAGTGGAAGTTTGTAGATGTTGGAGTGATCGGGTCCTGGGAAGTGTCTGGATTCTTAAAACTTGATAGATCCTGAAGCCTGGGAGGAAAAGGGGCACTCACGTGACCCGCTTCCTCTGCTTTTGGGGGCTGCCACTTGAATCTGGGCCATACCACAGCGTTCTGGGAGGGCACAGTGGGCACAGAGCCCACGGTCACACGTGGGGCTCTGAGTATCCCCAGTTTCCGAATGGCCCCTCGAAGCTGGACTGGGGCTGGAGCCGGAGCCTTCTGCACTAACCCATTTGGCACAGCCAGTCCCTTCCCAAAGTTGAACTTCCTCCTTTCCCAGCCTCCTCCTCCCACCACCTGGTTTCTCTAGGGAGGTCCCTGGCCCGCGTCTGTTTCCTTGCGCTCATTCTTCCAATTGAGGTCTACGGAGCGGCCACTGCCCAGGCCTCACAAGCACCGCCTGAGTCATGGGGAAATGACAAAGGAGGTGGCTTTGACCTCTGCACGCAGGCCAACTCGGCAGGCAGATTGCCGGGGGAAAGCAAGCGCAGGCCGAGCGCAGGATAGCTTAATGGGCAAAGCAGCTGCCGCTCACCCGCTGCCTGGGATGCCCTGTGGGGGGAGGCCACTCGCCGGCTGTGAAGCACCAGACCTCGGCCTCTGCTGCCGGGGGGCGGCCAGGCAACTTTCGGAACCAGCCCTGGGAAGAGGGTTCCTGCCGGGACCCCGGGCCATGCCGTCGAAAGAAGGACCTCCCTTGTGACGAAGAAGCCATCAAGCAGCGGGCCAGCTTCTGTGTATCAGAGTGTAAGCTAGACCCCAGGGGCTATGTTAACAAGGCATTAATGGGTCCAAGATGCATGGCTGCTTGGGTCAGATATGGGGACGAGCAAGACGGGACTTTCGGAAGCTCTCTGTTGTCCAGAGGGCAAAGCCAGACAGTGGGGAGGCCCCGTGGGCAGGTCTGTCCTCCACGTATGTACTCTGCGAGTTAGGGTGAAGGCTGCTCCCTCTCCGCCCGGCCAGCGCCGGCTGCAGAGCCCGCCGCATTCCCGGAGCCTGAGGAGCTGCTCATTCCTGAGCTCCCCGGGGAAGGTACAGTATGCGATGAGAACATGCGCGCACAGCTGCGCTTTCCAGATGTGGCCTCCGGGAACCGGGAGGCGTCGCCTGCTACCCTCCAACACGGGAGGGACTCTTGTTTCACTTCGGGAGGCTCAGTAGTTATCTTTTATGTCGGATGCATGAGCTGCCCTGCTTAAGCCCCGTGTACAATGACCATGTAATCAATGCATTTCAAACTAAAATTGGAATGATATATATTCTGCGCATGTAGTTTGTTTGGATGAGAAGTTTTTAGAAATGCACTTATTTTGTAAATCAGCTTTTGTTTAGAAGGGCTCCAGAGGGGAGGGACCCTTTTAGAGTCACCTATTTCTTTCTTTCCTTTTTTTTTTAAAAATATATATTTTATTGATTTTTTTTTACAGAGAGGAAGGGAGAGGGATAGAGAGCTAGAAACATCGATGAGAGAAACATCGACCACTGCCTCCTGCACACCCCCTACTGGGGATGTGCCCGCAACCAATGTACATGCCCTTGACCGGAATCGAACCTGGGACCTTTCAGTCTGCAGACCGACGCTCTATCCACTGAGCCAAACCGGTTTCAGCAAGTCACCTATTTGTTGATTCTCCCAGAGAAATCGGCAAACTGCCTAGTGACTCTCTAACTGATCACATACTCTTGTTGTGGTTTCCACAGAGAGAAAGCGGTTAGGAAGGGGCCAGGCTTGGTCCCTTGAGCTCCAGGTGCCAGGGGGACCTGAGAGGAGAGCAGTAAGAGTGACAGGACCTGCAGCACTGGAGCCGCCATCCCCCACCATCCTTGGACCGCCCATCCAGCTGCTGTGTACGACAACAAGCCTGGGCGGGACTGTGGGGAGATGCTGTGGTCCTTGGCAGGCCGTGGGAGGGGCGTGGGGTGTTGACATCAAAACACTGGGAAGATGAGACCCAGGGAGTCTCTTGTGCACAAAGGGAGAAAGGAGTGGATCACACGACACGTATTTTGACCATCTGAAGAGTTTGCTTAACGATTCAGAGAAAGTTCATGTTCCTGGAGGAAGCATGCATCTCATTTTCTGAGGCGATCAGCTTGCAGCCTCATAACAGCAGGGTGAGGTCAGCGCAGGATTGCAACCAGGGCTATGCGGAAGCCCAGCCAGGCTTTCTGGGTGGACCCTGACTTCCGAGGAGGGGAGTTTCTGAGGCTTCCTGTTGCTCCAGCGGCCGGAGCCAGCTAGGCTGTGCGAGACCCTCTTCTCTCTCCAGGCCCAGAGCCTCTGCTGTTTGGGTAACTGTGATAGACTCGCTTCCATTCATGTATTTGTACATTCTTCTAACACTCACCGAGCATCTGTTATTTCCAGGTACTATCCTGGGCCGTGGAGTTAGAGATGCTTGTAAGATGTGTCCTCTGGCCCCCAGGAATTCACCACGAGTCAGGGAGCCCACCAAGGAACCCTCCCATCCACGGGCCGACGCGCTATCCATTGAGCCAAACTGTCTAGGGCAACATATGTTTTAAATTGAATGCTGTTAGTTGCAGAGCAGCCCTCTGGGTTTTCATCAGATCAATTGTTGTGGTATTGAAGTGCTTGTATTCAAGTCAGCATGATTCTGCCGAATAATGGCTCCAAACTGGGGGAGTGGTGATGCCGACAGTTCCAATCGCCAACGAGAAGGTGTAAAGTGCTTTCTTTCAGTGCAGAGATGAGTGCAAAATATCAAAATAAGATATTTTGGGAGAGAAAGAGACCACATTCACTTATCTTTTATTTCAGTACTAGAGGTCTGGTGCATGAAAATTCATGCACTGGAGAGGGGGGCTCCTCAGTCCAGCCTGCCTTCTCTCACAGTCTGGGAGCCCCTCAGGGGCAGGAGGTTACCCAGTGATCAAGGGAAGGCGATGCCCCGTCACACCTCTGCTGCTGCCACTGCCAGCAGCGTAAGTCTTGGCCAGCCCTGGTTACCGCCATCCGAGGCTTGCCTGCATCTCAGGCCAGCCCTGGGAAGCTGGGGAGCTGAGGGGACAGGGTGCTGCCATCTTGTGGCTGTGGATGCCACCATCTTTGAGAGTGTGACAGCAATTAACATATTCCTTCCTTATTGGCTCTGGGCACTTCCATCTTTGAGGGCGGGCAATTAATTAGCATTTTCCCTCCTTATTGGCCCTCACACCATGGCAAAGATGGCGGCGCTATGGCGTGAGGGCCAATTAGCATATTCCTTCTTTATTAGCTAGGATATTGTTGAAATTGTTCTATTTCATTGCTTATTTCTTACTGTGCCTAAGTGATAAATTAAACTCTATCATAGGGGTGTAGGAAGAAACAATGCATAGAGTTCAGCCCTAGTCATGGTTTCAGGCATCCACTGAGGGTCTTGGAACATATCTCCAGTGGATGGGGGGCAAACTATATATGTTTGCTGTTGTTGAATGGTTACCTACCGGTCCTTTGCCAGAATCTACACCTGGGACAGGCCTGATCAAAAGTATTTTGTCCTGTGGCCCTTGCAAGTTTCCTTGACACCCGTCTGATGACATTCCTGTTCTTGTGTGGGAACTGCGGCTCCAGCATGTGCCACTCCCCCTGATCTGTCAGCTCCTGGGAGGCAGGACCTCTCTACCTCTGCCAGGCCCCTGCACACGCTGTCGTTTTGTGTGTGTCCGTGGAAGGAAGGCACCGACACAGTGACAGGGCTGCACGTGGCCACAGGGCTTGGTACGTCACCTCCATGCCTGGGGCTCGTTAATCCAACGTTGTCTTAGGCTGTCAGGCTGCAGGGCTTGGAGAGGGAGTTTAGGCTCCTCTGGCATTTCATCTGGGCTCTTTGCCATCAGGCTTTTCCCTGGAGAAAGGAGGGGCCCCGTGAGGAGCCAGCAGGCAGGGTACACAGCAGAGATGGGGTCAGTGTGTCAGTGCAGGTGTGTGGCATGGAGCCAAAGCTTGCTCAGCCAGGGAGATGGTGCAGACACTGCGCTAAGAGTGGTCTTGAAGCTAATCCTGCCCCTTCCTCCTCCCTGACCTCTTCCCATTTGGAGATCGGCTGCTCTGGGACTGGAGGCTGGGGTGGACAGTCTTGCCCTATTAAGGTTCCCCAGCATGCTCATTCTTGGGGTGCATGTGGACCGGAAGCAATGCAGGATTGTGGGAATTGCTCCATTCTGAGGCTGTGCTGCCTGGATTTCAGTCCTCCTTTGTCCCTTCCTCCCAGCCCAACCCTGGGCTCACTGACCCTGGCCTGGTTACTTAGCTTCTCTGGGTCCCATTGTAAAATGGGGCCTCATAAAGGCATCTCCCTCCTAAAGCTGATGTGAGGATGGGATGAGCTGCCACAGGTAAGACTCTACAAGCAGTATCCCACACGTAGTAGTGACTCAAGAAACATTAGGCACTGTCATTGCATTTGGACTGTGGCCCCTTGTGAACGGGTGATTTCTAGAGAAAGTTTGGTCTTCCTGCAGGGCTGTGGATTCCTTTTCTTCCTCACTGAAGGAGTTCTTGGAGTTTTGATGGCCTCAGTCTCTTGCTATAATACCATCTGTATACCATGAGGGCTTTATAGTCCAGTGATGCCCAATCTGCGTATAGAAGGTCAAATTCTCCTCTTCACCAGGCAGTCTTAGTCACACTGGCCTAGCATTGAATTGCTAGATTAAAAAAAATTAAAAAAAATTGATTTCAGAGAGTCAGGGAGAGATAGAAACATCAATGACGAGAGAGAAGCATTGATTGGCTGCCTCCTGCATGCTCTCCACTGGGGGTCAAAGCCCCAACCTGGGCATGTGCCCTGACTGGGAATGGAACCAACAAACAACCTTTCAGGACATGAGACAATGCTCAACCAACTGAGCCACACCTACCAGGGCCAAAGTGTTGTTCTTCTTTATTTATTTTCAAATCGTGGCTCCAATCTTAAATGATTTTATAGAAAGGGACAGTTAGTCAAGAATAATCCAAGAGGACTAAGTTCTTGGCCAAGATGACTCTTGGGTCACCTGCAGCTCCGAGGAGCAATGATGGACGATTAGAAATGGTGAGGCAGGTAGGGACCAGGCTGAGCATCGAGCACATTCTCAAGGCAGGAAGAGCCAGAGCAGTTTTCATTTATGGAGAGGAGACCCTGCGCTAAAGAGGTTAACACAGTCTGAGTGCATCTGAGTTCACTCTAGAGGGTGGAGGCCTTCAGTGCCACCCATGAGGCCCCATGGCCCCGCACACTGCCTGCAGGCGCTCTCGGCACTGTGGCCCAGCGAGTCGCGGGGGGAAGAGAGGACAGGCAGAGCCTCTGACCCCAAACAGCTGCATCTTGCCACAGCGAAGGAACAGGCTACCCTAGGACAGTTGCTCTCCGCTACACCCTGACCCTCAGGACATTTGCCGGCTTTCTCTTCGTTCCTCTTGTTTGATCCAGGGAAACTGGGACTTCTTAATGGAAAGAACAGGTTGCTCCTGGCCAGGAATGGCCTGCAGCTGCTTGTCTCTGCTCCACAGAGAGTCCACCTTCCCTGAGAGGAAGGAGGCTGTGAGGAGGCCTTTGGCTGGGCCACTGAGCTCCAGGGGCTGCCTAGACTCAGGCTGAGCTCCCCACATGCTCTAGCCATTCCTGTGAGCAGAGGGAACAGGACTCTGAACTTGCACTGGGTGACCTTCACTTTCTGTGAGTTCGTTTCACTCTACCCCGCATGGGTCAGTAGGCGAGATGATCCTCCTTGTTTTCCATTCTGAAAGTAGACCAGGCTCTGTGTCTCTTTACAGCCCCGAAGGCCAGATGGGGCTGAGAGCCTGGGACTGTGGAGGGAGCAGAAGTGCAGGGCCACGGTATGGTCTTGGTTCAGGGTGACAATGGGCCCTTCCCAAGCGTTGGAAGGTGAGGAGGCCCTGAGGAGAGCAGGGACTTGCCCAATGTCACACATGTTCTTGGGGACAGGACCAGGACCAGAATCTAGGCTTTGCAGTCCTATATCATCTCTCTCACATAGGTCAACAGGGGGCATTCGTGGTGCCCAGGGCCATGTAACATGCTTGTCCTACAGAATCTGACCATCAGGCTGGACTTTTCTGGGCTACTGCCTTAGGGGAGCCTGTACTCTAGCATTCAGGGACATATGGGTCCCATTGCCCAACCTCCTTCGTTGTGCCCCTGTATAAACCTTCATTTCCCCCTTCCTCATCGCGAGACTTTAGCTGCATGACCAGCGGGTCCACAGGACTCACTGCTGTTCCCCAGCAGCCAGGTCCCCTAAACTGCTGGTCAGGTGCACTTCCCCTCCCAAGCTTTGGCAGTGGTTGTCTTTAGATTTCAGAATCCCCGGGAAGGAGATCTTACTGAGCCTTGAAAAGCGAAGGGTAGTTGGAAAAGAAGGGAGTTTGAAGTTTGCCTGTGGGGCTCCCAGTGGAGGGAAGGCCACACGCCAGCACAGGACAGCAGCTCCAGGGTGCCCAGGTGTTTCGCCCATCCTTGACCGTGGGCTCAGTCTGATCACCCTGGCGGTTCTCTGGCCGGATAACCTCGCTCACGAGGAGGTGTGACTATCACCTGACCATGGAAGCCAAGTTCCACTGCTCAGGTGGTAAACTTCTGAAGGCTTCGGATTAAATTTTGCTAATCTCCTGAACCATGACCCCCTTTCCTCCTATGCCCTCTGACCTCACTAATTGGGTTGCCCTCCTTCCCCCCAAGTCAGCACGCACTTGTACATGCACATGCGCACACAGCCCTTAGGAGAAGGAAGCCAACAGCTGTGTGTGTGTGTGTGTGTGTTTCTGTAAACACCTGGGCTTCCAGAGGAGAACATGCACAGCTCTTTCTCTGGAAGGTTCGCTCAGGAGGCACCAGGCAGTCGACTGTGAAGTGTGAAGTCTGGAAATAGTGCTGACTGTTAACGACCTCAAGGGCATATTTTTGCCTGAGATGTGAACCTCTCCAAGCCTCAGCTTCCTGTCTGCAGAAGGTGACAATAGTCATTATTCTAGTGGGATGTGGTGACGATTCAGCAGGGTCACATGTGAGAAGTGCACACACAGTGTCAACATCTGATAAATCATCACCATGATGAACTATGATCATGACGCTCAGTTTCCGCCTTTGACAAATAGGCACATCATATACCTGCCTCCTAAGGCTGTTGTGGGGATGTAATAGTTTCATGTCTGCTGTAACGTGCCCTCCACAGGAAAGGTAGAGATGGAGAGAGGAGAGAGCCAGCATCATTGGTCAACAGTGTCTTCTCAAGAGGAGCAGAATGGCCCAGCCAGTGTGGGTTAATGGTTGAGAGTCAACCTATGAACCAGGAGGTCATAGTTTGATTCCTGGTCAGGGCACATGACTGAGTTGTCTCAATTCCCTGTAGGGGGCGTGCAGGAGCAGCCGATCAATGATTCTCTTTCATCATTAATGTTTCTATCACTCTCTGTTTCTCTGAAATAAATAAAAAAGTATATTAAAAAAAAGAAAAGAGGAGCACAATGTATGCAAGTGTCTTATTCTAGCTCCAGGTCTTGGGCTTTGCAGTATTTAGATGCATCACTGGCTCATACTGTTTAATAGGTTCTTTGAGGTAGCCACCCAGGGCCTCCATATCCCCAGAAGTGCCTCCTGTCAGGGGTGTTGCTAGAAGCCCTACTTCTGGTTGCAAGTTACCTTTCAGTACAGAAAGAGGGACCTTCCTGCTTAGGTCACAATCCACTTAAGTTGTTTTCCTTCCTAGAAGCCACTAGGCCCACTGTCCCCCTGAGCTTCCATAGCAAGTGAGCTGGTCTGGACAGAGGCTTGGGCCCGCCTCACTCTGCTTCCTCCCAACCCAAGGAGGCCGGATGGCAGGCATGGGTGGGCCCTTGGCCAGTGACTCTTTGGCTGAGAGTCTGAGCTTAATTCATGGTTGTCCAAAAGCAGCCACTCAGCCAAGACCAAGGTTGCACAGAGCTGACTGAATGGACACTATGCTTGCCTTCCACCCCCGCCTGCCTCTGTTAGACACAAGCAGAGACTCGCCCAGCTGTGGAAGTCACCATATTCTGGTCTGGAAGGCCGGCTCTATATAAAGCAGTGGCCCTGGAGTTTAATTCGGTCCCTCCTCATTTCCTCCCACAGGACCTCCCAGCATAGGACTTGTGAGCTGTCTTCCGGAGGCCTCCTCCCTCAGCCTGGGTCAATCCCATGAATAGCCAGCCCCACAGCCCCCTGGGAAAGGGCCTGGCTGAAAAGGTGCTGCACCCGGTTAGGCTTGGAATGGGAGTGAGCTGGAATGCTCTTTCTCCCTTCGGGTCTGTCTGTTACTGTCTCTAACCTCTGGCTGGCTTCTGCTTCCCTTGCTTGCAGGACCTGTGTGGAGCCACCACCTGTGACACGCTGGGCATGGCTGACGTGGGCACCATGTGCGACCCCAAGAGAAGCTGTTCTGTGATCGAGGATGATGGGCTCCCATCAGCCTTCACCACTGCCCACGAGCTGGGTGAGGCTGGAGGGGGCTTTCGGGTAGGGTGGGAGAGCTTCCCTTGGGGGATCTCTCTGGGCTCCCTGGGTGTTGGTAGGGGAGACACATGGGCATATCTGTGTTTTCTCATGACCCAAAGCCTTAGGGATCCTCTCTCAGGATCTTCCCTAGCAATGGCTTTGTTCGATTTCCTCTGCTTGCCCCAGCTAACTGCCGCAGCACTAGTTAGCCAGTGATATTGTCCAAGAACGTCAGCCATCAGCGTTGTCTCATCAATCAGTCACTAAGGGGAGAGTGTGTTCCATACACTGCTGCCCTCCCTGAGCTCACAGCCTCCTGGATGGGACAGAGGACACAGGAACATGATGTTGGGGACATGTGCTAAGCAATCTATCAATACATAGAAATGACCAGCCTGATGGACCCGGCTCTCTAGCTTCCCCAACTGGTCCTCCTCCCCACTCCCTCTCCCCATTGCCTCCTCACTGCACAGCCACTGAGCCCTCTTGCCTCACCCCACAGGCCACGTGTTCAATATGCCCCATGACAACGTGAAAGTGTGCGAGGAGGTGTTCGGGAAGCTCCGGGCCAACCATATGATGTCCCCAACGCTCATCCAGATCGACCGCGCCAACCCCTGGTCAGCCTGCAGCTCTGCCATCATTACCGACTTCCTGGACAGTGGGCACGGTAAGCCGGGGCGACCGAGGAGGAGTGTCAGTCTGTCACTGTTGGTGGTGCCTGCCACCTCTCTGTACCTGTCTTCTGTTACCCAGAGGTGTACATGACCCCGAAAAGGTGGGCTCTGAGGAGGGTCTGCCCATTCCATTGCCTCTTGCTTCATTCTCTCCCCACAATACTGGTGATACTGGTGAGCCAAGCCCCACCTTCCCCAGCGCATCCCTCATGCATGACCTTGGCTCTCTGCAGGAGACTGCCTCCTGGACCAGCCCAGCAAGCCCGTGGCCCTGCCCGAGGACCTGCCTGGAGCCAGGTACACCCTGAGCCAGCAGTGCGAGCTGGCCTTCGGCGTGGGCTCCAAGCCCTGTCCCTACATGCAGTACTGCACCAAACTGTGGTGCACCGGCAAGGCCAAGGGGCAGATGGTGTGCCAGACCCGCCACTTCCCCTGGGCAGATGGCACCAGCTGTGGCGAGGGCAAGTTCTGCCTCAAGGGGACCTGTGTGGAGAGACACAACCTCAATAAGTACAGGGTGAGTGTGCTGGAGGGGAGTAGACCCTTGGGGACCTTGATAGGGAACTTGTCTCATCCCAGCTTTGCTATGTGACCATCATTGTGTCGCCTTGCTGTGCTGTGCTTCAGTTTCCCTGTCTGTGGTTCTATTGTCCTTCTTGACTCTTAAGACTGGAAAGAAAAGATGTGGTAGGACTTATGCAGGTGGGCAAAGCCCTTCACCCAGAGTGAGGAGCCCAAAGCTGAACACTGGATATTTGGGTTGCTCCTTCTTTGGTTCCTTCCTTCCTTTCTTCCCTCATCAGCTCTCTGAGTGTGTTCAATGTTCAGGGAGCTGTGGGCCAGAGGTGAGCAAGGCTCCAAGCTTCAAGGAAGCCGACCCCCCGGGCAAACCTCCATATTTGCTGCATCCCGAGCCAAGCATCAGTTTCTGTTGTGGTTGTTCGTTTTTGAAGTCAAACCGCAATGGGAAAAACGTTATTTTTCCTGATAAGCAGGATTAGCAATCAAACCAGAACTCTTTCAAAACCCCAAATATTTTCTGAATATAATAAACACTTTCTCCAGGACCGGGCAGTGAAGGGATTTGTATGTTCCCAGGCTGGAATAAGAAGTCTCTCTGCTCCCTCAATCCTTGCCTCCCCACCCCGGTCCGGTCGCAGGAGGGCTTGGCTTGGGTTGTGTGTACACCGAAGCAATATAACGAAAAAAGCACTCACCAAGCACGTTAGCAATTGCCCTGAGATGGGTGTGGTATGGAATTATGTAAAACCTTTTTCTGTGTCCTGGGAACATATACTTAATTAAACTTTAGCCACTTATTAGGCAACAACCCCTTGTGTTCAGGGGACTGTGTAAGACACAGTGGTGGCCAGGAAAACAAATAAAAGTGGGCCACGTCTCAGAGGGCTCACAGGCTGGTGGGGAAGCTGGAAATGGAACTGTAACACAAGCCACAGGGAGGCGTGAGTTACGTGTTAAGGCACAAGCATGAGAGTGTGTCATGGGAGGTCAGGATGAGAGTTGGATGATCATTAGAGGGGTCTGAAAAAACTTGGATGAGGGGCTCTGATTGGAAGAGAGCCTTGAGGGGTGAGTAGGGAGAGATGGAGCAGTGAAGTCAGGAAGGCGGGGCCAGCTGGAGCTTTGGGTGGATGAGGGCTCTATCAGAATCAGCTGCGTTCTGGTTTGGGGCTGGATCGAGGCATTTAGACTAGCTCCTGCTCCTGAGAATGAGATGAGTCAGGACGATAAGGAAGATAATAACTTCTGCCCTAACTGGTTTGGCTCAGTGGATAGAGAGAGCCTGTGAACTGAAAGGTCCCAGGTTCGATTCCGGTCAAGGGCATGTACCTTGGTTGTGGGCACATCCCCAGTAGGAGGCAGCTGATCGATGTTTCTAACTCTATCCCTCTCCCTTCCTCTCTGTAAAAAAAATAAAAATAAAAAATCAATAAAATATATTAAAAAAGATAATAACTTCTTAAGGATATTAGATATAGGAAATGTGATCTGAGAAGCACCATCTTTCCCCATGCTTTCTGGAATTCTCAGCCCATCAGCAGCAAAACCCACTACATCCTCAACCTCTTTTCTCATCAGTCTCTTCACCTGTTTCAACTGCAGCCTAGCCCTTCACCTGGGACAGTCACCCCTTCTCTCCCAAGTCCTCCAGGGTTCAGTCCCCAGCCCTCCTCCCTTTTCCTGCTAACTTCTTAGGTGATTCAACTCAACCGCTGGCTGGAGACACTATATTTCTGTGTCAAAGACTCCCAAATTGGTACCTCCAGCACAGACCTGCCTCCTGAACTACACACCTGAATGTTCCCTATCTCGATATCTCCACATAGGGAACCAATACACAGTGTAGACATAACATCTGGGAAACCACGTTCCCAATCAGCTCCCCTACACCTGCCTTGGGGACTCTATCTTCTCGTTGCTCACACCAACACCATTTTCCTCTCACTTCACATCCAATACCTCAGCAGTTCCTGTGGATTCTATTTCCAAAATAGATGCACCACCTCACTTGCTGTAACCCTGGTCCAGGCCTCCATCATGTCTTCCTTGGGTTATTGTGGTTGTCCCCTGACAGACCTTCTCACAGACTGTTTCCACCAGAGCAGCCAGAGGGAATTTTCACTGTGAGCCAGGTCATGCCCCTTCTGGGCTTTACGCGTCTCTTAGGACCAATGAGCCCCGACTCTCTTCCTCCCCTGCTTCTCTCGCTCTCTGACCCTGGAGCACTCTGGGTACCTGCCTCCTCCAGGTCTTCGTATTTGCTCCCTCTGCATGGAGTGCCCTTTCCCTGATCCATGCACAGCTCATTCCTGTACTTCCCTTCAGGCCTCTGCAAAAATGTCGCCCCAGTAGTGAGGCCTCTGAGACCCCTTATAATACAGAGCACCCCAACTCTCCGAGCCCCTTCGCATCTCTCTTTCTCCCACCTGCTTTTAACCCCACCTGACACTATGCACAGGCTTTTTATTTTTTACTATTTTTTATTTTTACTGATTTCAGAGAGGAAGGGAGAAGGAGAGAGATAGAAACATCAATGATGAGGGAGAATCATTGATGGGCTGTCTCATGCACACTGGGGATCGAGCCTGCAACCCGGGCATGTGCCCTGACCAGGAATTGAACCGTGACCCCCTGGTTCCTAGATTGACACTCAATCACTGAGCTATGCCAGCCAGGCAGCACAGGCTTATTTTATTGTTCACCTTGCTCTGCTTGGAAGCAGTCGCTTTGAGGGCAGGGATTGGTTGCACACGGAGTCAGACAGGGAGTAGGAACTCAATGGAGATTTGGTGAATGAACAAATATTGGCACATGGGAGGAGCATGGTGAATGTTTCCTGTAGAAACCAGTAGGAAGAAGTGGTGCCAGGTGAAAAATCATAGCATCATCTCAGCAGTCATGGGACCAATGCTAAATAACTGCAGGAAAACTAGAGATGGTCCTATCCTGTTGGGCTCAGTGGATAGAGCATTGGCCTGCAGTAGCAAGGGTTCCAGGTTCAATTCCAGTCAAGGGCACATGCCCAGGTTGTGGGCTTGATCCCCAATAGGGGGCTTGCCGGAGGCAGCTGACCAATCATTCTCTCTCATCATGGATGTTTCTATCTTTTCCCTCTCTGAAATCAATTAAAAATATATATATATATATACATAAAAAAGGAAAAACTAAAGACAGCAAGGCCTAGCCACGGGCTCTTTCAGTCTTGAGAGGCCGTGGCTGATTGGGCGCGGCTTCCCTGGTGCAATGGGGACAAGAACCACATTGCCAGCACAGAGCGGGGAGGAGGGAGAAAGAGCAGACGCAGAGGACTGTCTTAGAAATAAAAGGATGGAATGAGGTGGGGCTCCCGCTTGAGGAGAAAGCAGGCCCCAGGGAAAGTGTTTTTTACAGGATAGAACCGCCACATGGACACAGCGAAGCCAGAACTCTCTGACAGAAGGACAGATCGGGCAGATAGGCTGAATCTATGAATATAACTTCAAGTTCTTCTGTTGCATGCGGCCAGCTCCCTCAGAGCTCCGTGTGGATTAGCGGTTTTGGATGATGTGTGACAGTGTTTTAATCCCAGGCTTATTTTTTCGGGGCTGATTCCTTTATTGCCCAACTGATGTGCGCTCGGGGGATAGAAACTCACTTTACTGTCATCATAAGGAAAACATCCCCAAGGCTATAAATTTCCTATCCCCTCTCCACCCTCTTAGAAAATAAGACAACTCTGCATAATTCAGCCCAAAGCCAAGTGGAGTTGAGAGATTGCCTCATAGTCTCTTAAGCATATCTTCTCTTCACACAAGCGTCAGAGCTGCTGATAGTGAAACTTCTTCCAATTCAGCCCCCAAGTGGGGTGAAGATCAGCCTGGTTTTGGGAAAAGTCTGCATTAGTAAACATGTAGAGATAAAAGTATCCAGAGAGCTGTGGTTGACTGGCTACAGCTGGGGGCTGGCCATGCCATAGATTTAGAGACTTATAAATACACTAACAATAGGTAAGGGGACGCTTTGAACTCCTGCACGATGGCAAGCACAATGCCAGGAATATTCATACACATTGCGTCATGTAATCTTCTGTGTGACCACGCACCTGTGTATCACGGCCCTGTTTTTGTGAATGAAGGAATTGAGACTTGGAAATTTTCCCAACTTGCTCTTTAAAAAAAAAAAAAAAAAAAAAAAAAATATATATATATATATATATATATATATATATATATATATATATATATTATTGATTTTTTACAGAGAGGAAGAGAGAGGAATAGAGTTAGAAACATTGATGCGAGAGAATCATCGATCAGCTGCCTCCTGTACACCCCCCACTGGGGATGTGCCTGCAACCAAGGTACATGACCTTGACCGGAATTGAACCCAGGACCTTTCAGTTCAATCCACTGAGCCAAACCTTCTTCGGCCAGACTTGCTCTTGACCACCACTGGGGTGAGGAGCAGAGGAGGCGGTAGAATTGGGCTTCATTCGGAGGAAGGGGACCAGGGAGGCTGTGCCCCTGTTGCTCTCTTGCCGGCTCAGGGTGTGGGTGTGGCACCCCGACCCCTGCAGGGGTGTAACAGACTCTTCCCCACAGGTGGATGGCTCCTGGGCCAAATGGGAGCCCTACGGCCCCTGCTCTCGCACCTGCGGCGGGGGAGTGCAGCTGGCCCGGAGGCAGTGCAGCAACCCCACCCCTGCCAACGGGGGCAAGTACTGCGAGGGGGTGAGGGTGAAGTACCGATCCTGCAACCTGGAGCCCTGCCCCAGCTCAGGTGAGGAGGGAGGGCAGCTGTGGCCTGGGCCTGGGCCTGGGGGAGGCAGGCCCGGCTGGAGGTCACAGCCCCCACTCTGGGTCATTCATGGCCACAGAGTTACCACAGTGAAGATTGCCTGCCTTAGGCCAGAGCCTGGGAATGCACAGGTGCACATTCCTTTTGGGGGTAACTTCTCTGTCTGCTCCCTTGGCTGGATGCTTAGACTGGGAGGCTGCATGGCCCCAGGGAACGAGACATAAGCAGGAATTCATTATCCCGGGAAGCATGGCCTTGGATGGGTAGAAAATGACATCTTTATTTTTATTAACCTTTTACATTTAACATGTAGAACTTCCTTCTATTAGAAATTTAGTTTTTTTTCTTTTCACTAACCTTTCTACCCAAAATGTAGTGGTAGCAGTACCTATGACTTTGTCACCAATAGAAATCATGGCTATTTCACGTTACATTTTCGTTGCCATGGGTTTCTCTCTCTCTCTCTCTTATTTTAAAAATATATTTTTATTGATTTTTTATAGAGAGGAAGAGAGAGGGATAGAGAGATAGAAATATCGATGAGAGAAACATCGATCAGCTGCTTCTTGCACACTCCCTACTGGGGATGTGCCCTCAACCAAGGTACATGCCCTTGACCAGAATCGAACCCGGAACTGTTCAGTCCGCAGGCTGACGCCAAACCAGTTTCGGCGGATTTCTCAAAATGCCATTTGTGCTTGTCACTACTTCAACATTACTGGGGCTATAGACTCATTATGGAGTCTTGTTATTTATTGTGTAATAACAAAGAAGCACACATATCGCGATATGTTTCCAAATACGTGGGTCATTGTATGTCGATGGAATTAGTATTTCATGTAATTTATTTTATACATTTCATGACATTCTGAAAGTGGTTTCAGGAGCCTGCTGAAGGGCTGGTTCTGTAGCACAGAGGGTTAGCGTGCCTGATACAACGGCTTCAAGGCCAGACTCCTGGGGAAGGTGGCCCCGAGCCTTGTCACCAGTGTCCTGCATCCTTGGGCCCAGCCTGCTTTAGTCCTCTGAGATGGGGTGGCTTCAGGACTTGGGGTCACTCAGCTGAGGGTGGGGAAGAGCCCAGGAGGCTCTCTCCTTCGCTCCCACCTCGGCTCCCTTTAACTTTCTACACCTGCTTGCTCCCTCCTCAGCCTCTGGCAAGAGCTTCCGGGAGGAACAGTGCGAGGCCTTCAACGGCTACAACCATAGCACCAACCGGCTCACCCTCACCGTGTCGTGGGTGCCCAAGTACTCCGGGGTGTCCCCCCAGGACAAGTGCAAGCTCATCTGCCGAGCCAACGGCACTGGCTACTTCTATGTGCTGGCCCCCAAGGTGAGTGACCTGGAGGCCACGAGGCCAGGGAAGGTTCCAGGCCTTCAAGGAAGCCTCCAGGTGACTTGTCCCTCTCTCCATTTTTCCCCCTCCCGGGGGCGCTGCAGGTGGTGGATGGGACGCTGTGTACCCCCGACTCGACCTCGGTCTGCGTCCAGGGCAAGTGCATCAAGGCGGGCTGCGACGGGAACCTGGGCTCCAAGAAGAAGTTTGACAAATGCGGGGTGTGCGGGGGAGACAATAAGAGCTGCAAGAAGGTGACGGGACTCTTCACTAAGCCCATGTGAGTTCCGGGCCCCGGGGGGCGTGGCCAGGGAGCAGGGGAGAGGAGGGGTGAGTGGCATAGCGTCCAGGCATTGGAAGCTTGAGTTTGATTGGGGGGAAATGTCAGATCCTGGCCAGTATCCTTGCTGGGGAGACCACTCACATTCTTCTATGAGTATGATATTCATTCATTCATTCATTCATTCATTCATCATTCAGCAAAGATGGTTGCAAAGATGCATGCTCAAGGAGGAGATGCTGCTCAGGGGGATGGCAGAGAGTTGTTAGGATCTGTCTAGAGTCTTGTTGTTGTTTTATAGAAGTTAACATATATATATATATATTATTTTTAAAAAATATTTTATTGATTTTTCACAGAGAGGAAGGGAGAGGGATAGGGAGTTAGAAACATTGATGAGAGAGAAACATTGACCAGCTGCCTCCTGAATACCCCTACTGGGGATGTTGCCACAACCAAGGTACATGACCTTGACCAGAATTGAACCTGGGACCTTTCAGTCCTCAGACTGACGCTCTATCCACTGAGCCAAACTGGTTTCAGCAATATATCAATATATATATATATATATATATATATATATATATATATATATATGATTGATTTTAGAGAGAAAGGAGAAGAAGAGAGAGATTGAGACATCAATGATGAGAGAGAATCATTGATCGGCTGCCTCCAGCACGCCCCACACTGGGGATCGAGCCTGCAACCTGGGCATGTGCCCTGGCCGGGAATTGAACCGTGACCTCCTGGTTCATGTGTCGATGCTCAACCACTGACTCACGCCAGCTGGGGCCACCCCAGGTTTTGTGAAAGGGGGATCTTTATGACGTAAGTGGGACCCAGGCCTTCCCACTCAGGCATCTGTCTAACGCGCACCCCCTCCGGCCACAGGCACGGCTACAATTTCGTGGTGGCCATCCCCGCAGGCGCCTCCAGCATTGACATCCGCCAGCGTGGCTACAAGGGGCTGATTGGCGACGAGAACTACCTGGCCCTGAAGAACAGCCAAGGCAAGTACCTGCTCAACGGGCACTTCGTGGTGTCGCCCATAGAGCGGGACCTGGTGGTGAAGGGCAGTGTGCTGCGCTACAGTGGCACGGGCATGGCCGTGGAGAGCCTGCAGGCCTCCCGGCCCATCCTGGAGCCCCTGACCGTGGAGGTGCTCTCCGTGGGCAAGATGACGCCGCCCCGGGTCCGCTATTCCTTCTACCTGCCCAAGGAGCCCCGGGAGGACAGGTCCTCCCACTCCAAGGACCCCCAGGGTCCCCCCGTGCTCCACAACAGTGTCCTCAGCCTCTCCAATCAAGTGGAGCAGCCGGATGACAGGCCCGCTGCGCGCTGGGTGGCCGGCAGCTGGGGGCCGTGCTCCGTGACCTGTGGCGGGGGTCTGCAGAGGCGGGCGGTGGTCTGCCGGGGAGCCCCCGGGCAGCGCCCAGCATCTGCCTGCAATGCCAACCATCGGCCGGCGGAGACTCGAGCCTGTGGGGACCCCTGTCCGACCTGGGAGCTCGGGGCCTGGTCGCCTTGCTCCAAGAGCTGCGGCCGTGGCTTCAAGAGGCGTCCGCTCAAGTGTATGGGCCACGGAGGGCGGCTGCTGGCCCGGGACCAGTGCAACCTGCGTCGGAAGCCCCAGGAGCTGGACTTCTGCATCCTGAGGCCATGCTGAGTGGGACCGACGGTGCTGCTGGGGTTCTGGCCAGCGGGGAGCTGTAGGCCAGGTGTAGTGGCCCTGGACCCACGCCACGATGTCACCACATCCAGGGACAAGGATCATGGGTGGGAGCGAGCAGTGTCCTCCCATCCCCGGGGCCCGGGCGGGGAGCTGAGTAACTAACACACAGTCTACCTCACACCTGGCTCCTCCAGGGCCCAGTCTCAGGAGAGGCTGAGAGGTGCGGGTACTGGGCAAGAAGGTGCTGGGGCCCAGTTTCCAAGAGACCTGGAGGGTGGCTGCTCCCAGGCAGACTTCAGGGACCTGGGCCCCCGTTGGGGAGGCCACAGGCTGCCAGAAGGGCCATGGCCCAGCAGCTGGCACCCTCAGGTGGCCTCGGGGGCTCTGAGCCGTCTCTGAACAAGGTGCTTTCAGCCCACTTTCCTTTTCTGACCAACAGACTGAACCATGCGCATGGGCTGGGGATGAGCAGGCAAGGAGGGAGTGGGTGGTGCCTCATGCCTGCAGCCCGGGCCACTCTTCTTGAGAAGAGCTGGATGTATGGGGGAGTCCTGAGGTTCCTCATCTTTCTTCTACTCTGGGCCCCCCTTTAAAGAGACACCTCTTCTCCTGTGTCATCCAGGCCTCCAGAGGGAGGGCTGTCACACCAGTGTCCTCCGAGGCCCCGCAGGAAGGGATAAGAAGTCGATAGGGAGCTGTTGTCTTCATGAGGGATCCGACCATTTTGAAAAATGCTGAACGGATAAGGGGAGCTGGATTCTGTGGCTGAAGCAGGGGGTCTGGGGAGGGATCTCGAGGGCTCTGCGGTCCCTGCGGCTGGGCTGAGCCTGGGGGAACGTCACTCTAGGGTGGGAGGAGGAGGCCCGGGTTCTGATAGCTTCCTCCTCCAGGGAGGCAGGTGTCAATCAGGCTGATGCTTTCAGCTCTGCATCGCCTTCCCAGAGGTCAGGGTCCCGGGCCTACTGAGAGGGCATGGGGTGTGCCCAGGAGGGCCGGTGCTGAAACTCCACGTGCCTGCAGGTTGGTCCTCATCCGGACAGCTCCGTGCAGTCTGGCTTGGGCATGTCACGTGGCGTCCTAGGCTGTGGTGTCTGCCGTTGGAAAATGGGATTCGCTCATTGCTACCTCAGGCTGTTCTCTCTGGGAACCCACCGTTGGCCCTCCCCCAGGGCAGTGGTGTCCTGGTGCTTCCAGAAGACCTGGCCTCGTCCTCTATGGACTGAGCTGTCCAGGCACAACGATGAGCTCGGGTGCATGGCTCCCTCCTGTCCACAGCCTGGCCACACACTGTGGCTCCCAACACACAGACAGATGCCCTCTCCCTTCAGGTGCCCTGGCTCAGGAGACACTGAGAATCTGTCACCTGACCCTGGAGCCTTGAGAACCGCCAGTCGGAGCAGCTGGCGAGCTGTCTTCTTTGGAGACATGCTAGGGGAGTAGAAACCAGGGCGTTTTGGGAAGATGTCTTGGGGTTGGATCCTTTGGCCAAGTAGGGTGTCTTTATGAGGGTGCACATGGAAGGTTCTGCTTCTGAGCGTAGGTATGAGTCCTGGACTTCAGCAAGGTGACATCAGGGCACGTGCCTTCCTTCAGTTTCCCCTCTTAGTCAGAACCCACAAACGAGCCAGGCAGCCAGGCAGGCCTCTGGGGTGATGTTCTCATCTCAGTCTAACACTGGCTGAGCCGGGCGTAGAGCCCCTGGAGCAGGGGTGTGCCGGGCTTGGAGGCAGGGCTGCAGTCTCCCTAGGAGACCAAGGGAGGAGGATTCCTGGCCCCACAGGAGCGAGCACTGGAGGCTGCAGGGCTAAGAGGAGCCAGGGTGCCAGGCTGGACACTGACCTGACCACCAACAACAGCACCGCGCCCTGTGCCTGGTGGACCTGTCCTTGGCGAGGAGAGGGGGCCCTGGGGGTCATGAGGGATGGATAAAGGAAGGGGTGGGGTTGAGGGGGGGAAGGGAGCTGCCATCAGTGGGGTACTTGGCTCTTCACAGAGCAGCTTTCTGAGTCATGCCAAGGAGGGACAAGCGGTCTTGTTCCTGACACAGGCTGGGTCTCGCTGTCCTTGTCTGCCGTGATGTTTTTCTTTCCTTTTTTTCCCTTTCCTTTTCTTTTCTTTTCAAAAGAAGTATGACCAAGACAACTTGGGCGGTTGGTCCTGATCTTTGACCATTTCATGAATCCAACCATGCTCTCCAAGGCTGAGCACAGATGAGCCTCAAGGCATAGGCATCTAGGGCTGGAATAAAACACCAAGGTGGTGTCTCATGTCCAGTGGGAGACGAGAAGCATTCTGGGTGCTCCAGCAACTTCTTTGGCGGGGTGTGGCTCAGGAGGGACCTGGGCTCAGGAGCCCTCCGCCCCCTCTGCCCACCGTGTGCACTGATTGGAGGAGTTTGAGTGCATGGCCTTGCCCCGCTGGGGGTGTGTGGTGATGGGGGGCAGGTGCAGAGACGTGCGTGTTTCCGGCCTGGAGGGCACCATCGTCATGGAGCCCCCTCTGTGTCTGGTTCCTTTGCATCCCGTGTTCCGCAGGGGATGGGAGACCCGGGTACCACCGGGCTGTGTATACTGTGTATACGTGGGGCCGGCTGCTGCAGGGACAACAGCCTTCTCCTAATAAAGTTGTAAGTATTTAAACCTGTGTCCTGCCTTGGTGACTTCATCTCTTCTGTGAACACTCATACCAAATCTACTGAGCATCCACCATGTGGCAGCCACGGAGCTGGGGCTGTGGTTTATCGGTGACTGGGATAGGCATGTGCTTTGACCGGGAATAGAACCGCGGCCTCCTGGTTCATGGGTTGACACTTAACCACTGAGCCACGCCGGCCACGCTATATATTTCTTACTATGTCGCAGCAAATAAAGGAGAAAGGAGAGGAGGGTGGGTCCTGCCTCTGGAAGCTCCAGGTAGAGTCAGGGGATAGCGACTGACACTGGAGCTGCCTGGAACAGACAGCCTGGCTGTCTGTCTTTTGAAGCTTTCCACGCGGGGAAGGAGCTCTTTCCTAACCTCCTGGCCTTTGAAGAGAGGCCGGAACAGTTTGCTTTGAAATCCATCCTCCGGAGAGGAATGCGTTTTTGGTCCCAGTAGAGAAAAAGCCTCCATAATGGTCAAAGGTCTTGACCTCCTGGGCCCAGCGAGCCCTGGCTAGCCCCGGGCAGGCCAAGCTGGCAGGGCCCGTGGCAGCGTGTGTGACCCAGAAAGTCTTTCCGTGGCTCCCTGGCTCGCACCCAGCCCTGGTGGGTGAGTCAGCTCTGAGGCCTGCAATTCTAGCTACGAGCCCCAGGGGAGCCGAATGTCTCTTCCCCTTCCAACTCTCCCGATACCACCCCATTGCCTAGCCCGGGCAGCCCCAGGGGTCCGCAATGACATCATCGAGGCTGCTCCCAAGCAGGGGTGCCAGGCACTCAGTGCTCCACGCCCCCGGGGGGCTCACCGGGAAGCCCTGGCGTGTTTGCTCTGTGTTTGTTCAGTAACTCACATTCCGAGCACTGGCCAGCATGTCGCTGGGGGAGATAAGAGTTCCTGGCTCCCAGGGATTCCTGAGAAGCAGCAGAACGCTTTGTTCCCTAAGGAGAGGGGTTAGGGCAGAAAGAAAGGGCAGGATGGAGAGGAAGAGAGAAGGGAACCTCTTCCTGAAACATCGGACGTGGGAAACAGAGCCCTGGGGGATGTTGGGAGGCTGGTGAAATTTCAGCCACATCCCTTTTATATTATATATATAATATATATATATATATATATATATATATTTTATTGATTTTTTACAGAGAGGAAGGGAGAGGGCTAGAGAGCTAGAAACATCGATGAGAGAGAAACATCCATCAGCTGCCTCTTGCACACCTCCTACTGGGGATGTGCCCACAACCAAGGTACATGCCCTTGACCGGAACTGAACGTGGGACCTTTCAGTCCGCAGGCTGACGCTCTATCCACTGAGCAAAACCAGTTTCAGCTCAGCCACATCCTTAAGTTATTGCAGTTGGTCCTCCCACCCCGTTCCCTCTCCCTCTTCCTGGAAACCACAATCCCAACAGTATGAGCAGGGGTTTGGGCCACTGTTCTCTTGACTTTGACCCCCTGTCCAGGTGACCTCATGGGACTGGGCTTCTGGTCTCAGCAGGGAGCACCCATCACCATGGTAGCACGGGTGATCCAGCAGATATTCCTGACCTGGTGGTGTTGGACTTGAAGATTTTGAGCAAAGAGCCTTTGGGTGTGTAAGGAAATGTGTTCAGGAGAACAATGTGACCTCTGACCTCTGGAAGGGCCCTCTTTGGATTGTTTGCAGCCCCCCAGGCAGCAGGTTGGTACATCAGCACCTGCCAAGCTGGACACAGCCAACTGTCAGGGAGAATTTCCAAGGTGGAGGCTTCCTAGGAATGTGTGTGAGAGCAAGATGATGCGGCCGGTCGCCTCCGGAGCAGTGAGGACACTGCCCTGTGCGGGCACAGTTCCCATGTATAATACAAACTCGGACCCGTCTGGTCTGCACAACCATCCTCTGAGAATTGATCAACCCAGAATGCAACTGGGGTTTCAAAATGTGAAGTAACTTGTGCAAAGTTACCCCGGCCAGTAGCGGGCTGGGATTCAAGCTCCTTGCTTCCTTCCAGCACTGGGCTCCTCGCCACCGGACAGCTGAGGAGGTCTTGTCAGCCTCTCAGTAAGGCGGGGAGATGGTTACCTGGTCATTTCTTTCCCTGAAAGGCTCCTTGGAATGACCTAGGCCCATGGTTGGCAAACTACGGCTTGCGAGCCACATGTGGCTCTTTGGCCCGTTGAGTATGGCTCTTCCACAAAATACCTTGGCCTTGGTGAGTCTATTTTGAAGAAATGGCATTAGAAGTTAAAGTTAAAAAAATTTGACTCTCAAAAGAAATTTCAATCGTTGTACTGTTGATATTTGGTTCTGTTGAGTTTGCCGACCACTGACCTCGGAGCATGTTCTGGAGGCAATGTTTTGTGATTTCCAAAGGGCCTATCAA